GACGAGTAGATGTCACAAATAGTGATGCCCCGCCTCCAAAATATGCTTTGTTACGGATCATAGTACAGGACACCACATATATTGTATTGTGATGAGAGAAGAAATAAAAGCCAATGTTTATTCCACCTGCTCCAAGAAGTGCTTTATTTTGTTTCACAATTGAGTTACTGAAAGTAATATTGTTATGATGTGCTTCATTTTTACACAGTGCAAACAGGCCACCTCCATACAACCCCGTGTTACCAGTAAAATAACAGTTATCTACTAAGACATTGTTATTATAAGCTTGCCCATAAAGTCGCACCATTAGCCCACCACAGCTGTATTTTGAGTATTCAATAACATTGTTTGATTTTCTTATGACAGAGTTATAGGAGAAAGTGCAATTATACACAATGAAAGAGCTGTGTTTATTGTGCATGTTAGTGCTTGGATCACAAGAATCCCATGATGGACTACAAGCAGACAGCTCATAATAAACTCCACCTCCTCCATGAAGTCGACCTGTTTCATTAGCTGTATCCTCATGTGGCTTACTAACAGTGTTGTTAGTGAAAGTTGAATGGGTAATAGATACCAAGCCATCACAGTTAAACAGTGTTAAACCAGCTCCATGGCTGTTTCTAACGGTTATACCACTTATATCAATGTTAGTACAGTTTTCAAAGTACGCTGCAGTTGACACATGAAAAGAGGGAGGATTAGTTTTTTGTTTGTAATGATACAGTATGCCACAGTTCACAATAGAGAGCCCAGATATCTTTAAGTCTGTTATATTGATAAATTTGAATCCATTTGTAACAACTTGTTGGTTACAGACTATAGTAGTTTTATTCATTCCTGATATGGTAAGGCCTGAGACATTAACAAACTCAATGATAGTTTCAACAATCTCTTTGTCACTGAGGAGTAGGAGCATTGTATCATTACTCACCTCATTCATAGCAGAACTGAGATTGTTCCTGCACAAGGAGCAGTTGTGTTGAGGAGTAGGGCGATCTTCATTTACATGTATGCATATGACTTTTGAAAAAGTAGTAACAGAGAGACAGCAAGTCTGTATGAGCAATAGACACAACACTGGAGCAACCTTCATTGTTGAACTTGGAAAAAATAAAATCTGGAATAGCACTACGGGTGTATATATGGTACCACTAGTGACTATTGGAGCGGGTAGATGTAAGTTGAATCTTCCCACATTGTGTTAACTTGTGTCAACTGACCTGTTTATGTACATGTATTAATGAATGCATGTGTGTTCATAAACACTCTCTATTCCCATACATTGTATTCATTGGATTATTGATATCCATGCATTGTACTCATTGTATGGGAATACAATGGAGCTCATCACTACAGAAATTTGTTTGCTTTTGGCAATAAACAACAGTGTAGGACTATGTAAACATTAGCTACTTTCCTACTTCCTCATGTCAGAAAAACAATTTTAACTGAAGGCTGGCACAATTAAAATACAAATAATTATAAATACTTGATGTTTAATAGTAAATAGGAGACGGAAAACAGACCCATTCGTATAAATACGATAAAGTTGGACTGTCTCAACACCTTTGCTCTAACTCATATTGATATCTTTATACAATACAATGAAGGATCATGTTTGGCTTAATAGTACCAGGCAATGTTTTGGAAACTACATTTGTATATGTGTAGATAGTGCTATCATTTTTAATTTCAATTCAGCTGAAAGCACACTGATTTTATGTAAACAATGAAACTGATTACATGTAAATGCATGAAAGCAATAAAATTTTATCTCTAAAATTTTCTGAATATTTTCGAAATGTCTGAAAGAGCTCCCTTACTGAAGTCATCAGTTAAAAGAAGATGCTGTGGAGCCTATCGGTTCCAGTTCATACACTCCAAAGGAGCACTACTTGTTTTATTATGGGATCTTCTGATAGGGATTAGTTTAAATCTATTGATACAAACATCTGACCCTTCCTTTGCTGATTTTATCAGTGTGGTCGTTGTAGTTGGGGCATCTAGTGTCCTTATTTTTGCTGGATTTTTAGGAGACTTCCTAATAAGCAGGTATAAATTTATTATGGTTGGATCTTATATTTCTTTTTTTCTGCTGATTCCTTTGCTGATAATTATGGCCTTGCAGCAACCATTCTATCTTTTGCTGCTTTTAAAAATTATATATTCCTTGTTAGTCATTAGTGTGTGCATTGTTCGTGTTAGTCTCTTGCCATTTAATATTGATCAACTCATTGGATCATCAAGTGATGAATTGAGTGCTGTCATACACTGGCACAACATTGGACCAGTAGTTTATTTATTATTTGGACAAATAATATTTTCCTTACAAAGCACTATGCTACAAGAACTAATAATATTTCTTTTTTGTTTTGTTTGTTTTGCAGCAATTTTAGCCAGTCACAGTCTCTTTAACAATCATCTTGACACAACTCCAGTGAATACAACTAATCCCATCAAACTGATAGTTAGAGTATTGTGTTATGCCAGGAAGCACAAGTATCCTGAGAATCGTAGTGCTCTGACCTACTGGGAGGAAGAGGTCCCTTCAAGACTAGACCTTGGTAAAGATAAATATGGTGGGCCATTCACTGAGGAGGAAGTAGAAGATGTTAAGACTATTCTGAAGTTGCTTCCGATATTGATTGTCAATGGTTTGGCTGTATCTTTCAATGGAGATTTTCTCTTAGACACTAATCTGAAACACTATGGTTGTGTGGAGTTACATGAAGGAAACATAATTGGTGCTGTGTATGTTTTCATCATTCTCCTTCACCAGTTTGTCATCTATCCTTGTTTTTATAAACATATTCCGAGCATGCTTAAAAGAATGGGACTAGGAATGGGCCTCATTGTTGCTGTTAATTTTTACTATACAGTGTTAGCATTCATTGGCAATTATC